CCGTTTCCACCTGTAGATGCAGAACTGATCAGTATTAACGGAGGAGAAACTTTTACAAGAACCCAAACTTTACCCAACACAGAAAAGGTAAGAACATCAAAGGACAAGTAAACAGCAAGACTGTTGTTGTACTGAAAAATACATTCAAAACTCAGTTTAGTTATCTACCAAAGTATGCTAAGGAAAGGTTCACTGTTGCTTGCTACATTTAATGTATGATAACAGTTATTTTTGGGTAGGTTTTCAGAGTTTTTTCTCAGCTTTAAGTGGGTTCAGTGGATCTGGCACTGTCCTTGGTGCTGATAGTGAATTTTCAAAGGTGTTCGTAGAAATCCTGCTGGTGTTTGTGTATATTATTTCATACAGTTACTTATGAAAAAAACTACAATAAGAGGCGAAAATACATTCACCATTTGGAAGGTTTTCAGAAGGATAATCTAAGTCCAAAAGTGTTAAATGGTTGCGGGGAAAAGCCCCTTTGCGTTTTAAGAGTGCAGCACTGTAACAATTACTTTTGTAATTTGTGGATTTACAAGTAAGATTAATAATTTTTCTTCTTTTAAAAAATGTATATCACCCCAAATTAACAGAGATTTGCTAAGATATTTACATCATAAAATCCAATTAAAGTAAACAAACAGCAAACAAACAAAAAAACACATAATTTGTAATGTTTTCTAAATTGTAGTATTATGTTAATCCAATTTTAGACAATTGTATTTATATTTTTCCATGAAAAACTACTCTAAGGCAGATATAATTTACTTCCATTCTATTTATGATTATATGGGCACACCGACATACGCCTACATAAAGATACATATATTGTGCATATACAGAGAGAAAGAGAATGGTAGGAATTTTAAATAATATATTACATTTTTGTCAGAATATTAAGAACCCCAATACAAAATCGTTCTTTGTTTATTCGAGATATTGTAAAATAGTTTTAAGTCGCTATGTGAAAATGAATTGTGTTACCTAGTGAATGTCGTTCTCAAAAATGTCCACATGGGGACATTATAGACCATCACATTTTAGCTGCCCTAACGGTGCTTATGGGCTCCTCCCAGTTTCAGGGGATAATGATATTTCTCGGATGGACGAAACAAAGGGACTGCGAAAAGGAACGACGATGCCTTGACATGGGTTATTAGACAACGTCTATTTGCCCAAAGGATCAATCATTTTCTGGCGCTTGAGATTTAGCGTATGGCAGCATGCATTTTTCGAGAAAATCGAGCCCAGCGTGGATATGTCTCGCTGCTGTGGTGTTGGGTTGTTCGCTGGAAGCGGTTTTTGGACAGCTCTCTTACTCCGTGTCAGAGGAGGTGAATCTGGGGACCGTTGTCGGAAATATAGCGAAAGATTTGAACGTCAATGTTCAAGACCTTGAATCCCGGATGTTTCAGGTCGTTGCTGGATCGAAGAG